AGAGTAGTAGATAAAGCTGAAGCATAGGCAAACATGGGAAAGCCTCAGAGAGTATGATGCTCTTTTGAGGCATGGGGCTCAGGACCAGAGTGACAGAAATACGCCTCTTACACACAAGCCGTGTAAAAGAAAGAAGTGGTGAGCAAACCGTTGGATGCCTTTTCTATGGTTCAGGCCACGATCTTCCTGGTTCCCAACTAGGAAGCAGGAAAGCAGTCCCTAGTCCATTTCAGTTTCTAAGTAGGAGTAAATTACTGTGGTGTAGTACAACAGGTCTCTGCATTTGCCTCCATCCCACTTTAAAACAGAGAATTTACTGTGTGTAAATCATCACAGCAGTTTCTGCCCTGTGGATGCACTGTGTGCTCACCCAGGCGCTTGGCCGCCCCACTGAATGAGTGTAGCTGCCTGGTGAAAAGGGTGTGTTTAGCCTTCCCTGTGTTCACGACAGCTTAGGTAGTAAGAATGCTGACTGGTTGATCTTTCAGGTTTCTTCATCCACGCTCACACTCACGTGTTTGTAAAATAACTCTGGAGTGGCAGGGAATATTTCCATCCAGGAACTGTCCACACTTACTGTCGCACTGTCACGGAATTACACGTTAGAAACTTGTCCCCAGTAGTGACTTTTTACTGACAGCTTTTCATGGTAGTGGCAAACAGAGATTTTTATTGGTGTGGCAGTTAAGAGCTACAGCGTGAGCAAGAACCAGCTACGTTCTTTCGAAAAGAAGTCATTTGGGAGATGTGTACATACATGTTCTTTTAGCTTCTATTTCCGTGGTCTGATCTTGGAAGATACCTGAAAGTTCTGAGTCTAAGTTTTAAATATCTTAGCCAGTAAGTCTCAGTTGCTCTTCCGCAGACTCTAGTGAAATCTGTGACCCTACACATCTGGAAAAAAAAAATCATCTTTCAAGAAACCTAAATACCGATCCAGGAAGAATCTGTAATCTCTGTTGTCCTTAGAATTCTGGGGCATTTCCTATGAAGTTTTACTGATTAGTTCATGTCTATGGATGCACCCTCCATATTTCCCTTCTCCTACTGAGTCATAATCTGGAAGTAATTTCTTTATGACAGCTAGTTCATGTAATGTCAAGCATTCACTCAATCATTATTTGCTTCCTAACTATGTCATAATTATTATCAGTTCTGGGATTTATAATATATGAATGACAGACTAAAAGGCTCATTCACAGGGAGACGAAGAATACAGAATTGAATAAGTAAATTAAACCAAAAAGGTATTTATGTATTATTTCTAGGAAGAAAATTACAATAGGGATTCACAAGGATAAGCCGTAGGTGGTTTGGGGAATCGTTTTCTCTATATCGGAAGGAACTAACTTTGCCTGTGCACAAAATGACTAGAAATAACTATCATAGAAAAGTACCAGGGAAAAATGTTGTAACGGCAAATTCCACGTCGTGAAGAAGGAGAAAATGACTGTGTGACACTGAAACTGGCCACGCGTGTGTGCATTGACTATGTGAATTACAGAGTGGACTGTGGTGAGGGCTGCTGCGGGCACAAAATCTGACTGACACGAGAAACTCCTCTTCTTTTAGAGCCGAGAAGCTGTAATGCCGTAACGGCTAAGTACTGCTCATTCCTGATGGAATGCTCTTCTAGGGATAGAGCATTTCTCTCAACTCATTTTTATTGCAAATTTATACTGTCCTGAGCTGCACATAGTGGCACTTTCACCTCAGCACTCAGGAGTCGGAGGCAGGCGCATCTGTGTGAGGCTGAACAGGGTGAGGCCGCACCCTGTTCATGGTAAGTTCTAGGTCATCCAGGCTACAGAATGTGACCTTGTCTTGAGAAATAAAACAACAAATAAAAGACTTATTATCCTGACCTGTATATGTGAATACGTATGTGTACATTTAAAGAATTATTTCTCAGTTATCTTGGTTTTTTGTTTTATATTTTACTCTGGGGTGGTTACAGGCGTAACTAGCTCTCAAACAGGTGGTAAATGTATTTTCCCACCACCACATAGTTACCATCCTTCATCTGCTAATATCTAGAGCCAAAATATTAGTGATAGCAAGGAGAAGAGGAAATTAATAAAAACGGGCACTGTTAATTCTCATACATAGGCAGACCCAGTGAAAAACAATTTGAGGGTCATAGACAAGGCCGGTTTTTATTTTTCTTGGCTTATTGTCATATTCAAAGGCTAGCAGGAAAGCAAAGGACACTGCCAGCAGAACAAAACGGCCTACAGACTGCAAAAAGATCTTCACCAACCCTACATTTGACAGAGGGATACTATCCAGACTATATAAAGAACTCAAGAAGTTAAACACCAACAAACCAAGTAACCCAATTTAAAAAATTGAGTACAGAGACAAACAGAATTCTCATCAAAAGAATATCAAATGACAGAGAAACACTTAAAGAAATGCTTAGCATCCTTAGTCATCAGGGAAATGCAAATCAAAACGACCTGAGATTACACCTTCCACCCACCAGAATGGCTAAAATCAAAAACAGCACATGCTGAAGAGGATGTGGAGAAAGGGGAACCCTCCTCCATTGCTGCTGGGAATGCAAACTCGTACAACCACTTTGAAAATCAATCTGGCACTTTCTCAGAAAGTTGGGAATAGTGTTACCTCAAGATCCAAGGCATAACACTCCTGGGCATATATCTGAAAGATGCTCAACTATACAACAAAGACATTTGCTCAACTATATTCACAGCGGCTTTATTTATAATAGCCAGAATCTAAAAACAACCTAGACGTCTCTCAACCGAAGAATGGACACAGAAACTGTGGTACATTTCCACTCCTAGGCATATATCCAAAATATGCTCAAGTACAAAACAAGGACATCTATTCAACCATGTTCCTAGCAGCTTTATTCATAATAGCCAGAATCTGGAAACAACCCAGATATCCCTCAATGGAGGAATGGATACAGAAATTGTGATACATTTACACAGTGGAATACTACTCAGCAATTAAAAACAAGGAAATCATGAAATTTGCAGGCAAATGGTGACAACAAGAAAAGATCATCCTGAGTGAGGTATCCCAGAAGCAGAAAGACACACATGGTATACACTCACTTGTAAGTGGATACTAGACCTAAAAGATAGGATAAAAATACTAAAATATGTGCACCTAAAGAAGCTAAACAAGAAGGAGGACCCAGGGTAAGATGACCAATCTTCACTTAGAAAGACAAGTGGGATGGACATCAGAAGAAGGAGAAAACAGGGAACAGGACAGGAGCCTACCCCAGAGGGCCTCTGAAAGACTCTACCTGGCAGTGTATCAAAGCAGATGCTGAGACTCATAAGCAGGCCTTGGGCAGTGTGCAGGGAATCATATGAAGGAAGGGGGAGTTGGTGGGACCCAGAGAGGACAGGAGCTCCATGGGGACCAAATATATCTGGGCACAGGTGTCTTTTCTGGGACTGATTTTCCCATGCATGGATATAACCTAGAACCCCTGCTCAGACATAGCCCATGGCAGCTCAATATCCCAGTGGGTTCCCTGGTGAGGGAAACAGGACTTTCTCTGACATGGACTCAGTGGCTGACTCTTTGACCTCCTCTCCCCCACCCCACCCCACCCCTGATGTAGGAGTAGCCTTGCTAGGCCTCTGCTGGTAGTGGGAAGACATTGCAACCAGTCCTGATGAGACCTGATAGGCTAGGGTGTGATGGGGCGGGGGGAGGGGGGGTGGTGAGGGGATTGGGGAGAAAGGGTGGGATTGAAAGGGAATGAGGGAGGGGGCTGCAGCTGGAATGCAGGGGGAATAAACTTAATTAATATAAAAAATAAAATTTAATTTAAAAAAGAATATTAGTTAGCAATTAAAAACAAGGTGATCATGAAATTTACAGGCAAATGGTGGGAACTAGAAAAAGTCATCCTGAGTGAGGTAACCCAGAAGCAGAAACATCCTTAAAACAGACAAAGACAACTTTAAAAAAAATGTTCATACTCTGACCAATCTATAGAGTAAAGAGCAGGGGAAATAATTATATTAGCCAAGATGTGGCCCTTTAATTTCTACCATTTGAAGACCCTAAGCCAACTTTAAACTCTCTCTAGTGTGATTCACCCACATGAGTGTCCCAAATCACACAGATGTAGCCCATGACAGCTCATTCTCCAAGTAGGCTTCCTACTAAGGGGAACAGGGGCTGTCTTGGACATGAACTCACTGGTTGCCTTTTTGATCACCTCCCCTGAGCGGGGGTGAGGGGGTTGGGGGGAAGGGGCAGTCTTACCAGGCCACAGAGGAAGGCAATGCAGCCAGTCCTGATGAGACCTGATAGACTAGGGTCAGATGGAAGGGGAGGAGGACCTTCCCTATCGTGAACTGTAGAAGAGGTATGGTAGGAAAAGAGGGAGGGTGGGTAGGGTTGGGAGGGGACGAGGGAGGTGGCTACAGCTGGGATACAAAGTGAATAAATTATTATAAATAAAAAATATAATAAAAATGTTAAAACTGCAGGTTATCATTTACCAGGCTTTTCTTCACCCTCTACATCAAGTTTTAATAATTGCCGTACAACTCCTTCTCCAGTGAATTAATCTTTTGCTTTTTCTACATGAGAATTCTCCCCAACTTTTTGTCCTCCTTTATGCCCTAGAAAAATCCCATAACATCTACCTTCCTCTCCTGAGTTCTGACAGTTTTCAAAGAAATTCAGGCGTCCTGCTGAGTCTCTGCCCTACCTTGTGCTCCTCAACACTCTTTCACTAACAGAAAAGTAAGAAACAGACATGACAAAATATGCCTCTTGATTACCAAAGAAAATGGACTTTATTAAGTAGAAGTTCTGCTTTCAGAAACCAGCACAGTGGTCTTGTGTAGGGGCAAGGGGGTACACAGAATGCTGGTCATCAGAGAAGGGGGTCAGTGATACTTGTGGGCCAGAGCAGTGGCCACCCCAGCCACCAGCTTCTGCCAGGCAGCCTGCACTTCAGCTGTGAATTCCTTGCCAAAGTAAGAAGAAAGTACAATCACCAGTACGTTACCCAGGAGCTGTGAAAGGAAACATAAAATGATACACAAAAATGAGAAAAGAAGACACAGAAAAGAAATTACATGGAAAAATAATATTTTGAAGTTATGTTCCTTGAGGACTCCAATCCCCAACTACATATGCACCTTAATGAGGAGGTTGGCTCAATGTTCATGGTTCTAATTCTCTCCTTGCTTCCATTTAGCCCTCCCTTGCCTGCTTCCTCATTCTGCCATTTTTTTTCTCTTGCTCCTTTTCTAATTCATCAATGGCCTGGCTTCAGTAAATGCAGGATTTCATTACAAGGACATGTTTATGGGAGTTTAAGTCTCCAACAATGAAGAAAGCAGAGACTACTTATGGTAACACTCATTAGGACTGTAACATTTTTTAGAAAGCTTATCAAACCAATAAGAAAAATCTATCTAATTTTCTCTCCTATTTTTCCTGACGTGGCAATCATTAGAATCCACATAAATAATGTATTTCTCTTTCCTATAACAAAATGCCAATTTCAAATTTGAACTTAGAGGTATGTACTAATTCTAAAAGTAATGATGACAATAATAATTAATAATAACAGGTGGGAAAATTCTATAACCATCTCTAAAAGTCTGTTCCTTTTTGTCTGGTTAGGGATTCAGTCTCAGGCTTCCATCATCTGAGTTACAGACTGAGACATCAAATATGTCTGAAAAAATTCTCTGAACAGTTGTAAATTTACTGAAAAAGCTTCTATCAAAGAACTGACACTAGATCTGGACCCTTGTGTTGTAAAATCTGGGTCAGCATAACCAAGCAAGGTATTGACTTTCATTCTTTTTCCCATGTCAAATAGAAACTGAACACACAAGCGTGTTCAGAACTGACCTTGAAGTTCTCAGGGTCCACATGAAGCTTGTCACAGTGCAGCTCACTCAGATGAGCAAAGGTCTCCTTGAGGTTGTCCATGTTCTTAACTGCCAAGTCTAGGGATGTCAGCACCTTCTTGCCATGGGCTCTGATCCTGGGGTTACCCATGATGGCCGTGGCAGAAGAGAGGTTTCCAAACTTGTCAAAGAACCTCTGGGTCCATGGGTAGACAATCAGGAGCCTAGGACAGAAGGCGTCAGCAGTTAAACCATCCAAAAGTGCCACAAGCACCTAGAGCAGCGGTTCTCAGCCTGTGGGCCGTGTCCCTTGGAGGATAGAACGGCCCTTTCTCAGGAGTCACCAGAGATCATCAAAAACACAGACATGAGCTATGTTTATGGGTGAGGGTCACCACAACGCAGGAACTGCATTAAAGGGTCACAGACGAGCACCGGGAAGGTGAGAGCCACTACCCCAGGGGAACTTTCCACCATGCACAAATGCAGTTTCCCTCCGTTCTTCCCCAGTCTTGGTGTCAGAGCCTACCTTCCCAGGGTTTCTCCTCCAGCCTTCTCTATGTCCACTTTATCCCATATGCCTGCGACAGCCGCCTTCTCCTCAGCTGTGAAGTGAACCATGGTGTGTGGTCTGGAGGCTTGGAGATGACTGCAGGTGTGCGG